AGAAAGCAGGGTCTGAATGTAAGACCGAGGTGCCAGTGTCACCTTGGAGGTACACTGCGATCGCCGACTACCCCCATCCCAAACGATGCTTCAGGGCTTCCGGGAGGTGCTGATGACGATATCCGGTATGCGAGATTACCCGATACCGGGAGCTGACGCCCAGTCCTTGCAGTGGCGTGAAGGTAGTCGTCTTATATGATTAGTCCCAAGTTTCTCGAAAGCGTTTCATAACGAGACGAGGCCTTACGCGTGCACATGGAGGACCTCTGAGATAATATATTGCCAGGAAACGTGAGGGTAGACCAGGAATCAACACCGGATACCGGCCAGACGGACATCTTCTCAGCGCACAGTGCATGCAAATACGTTCATGACTTACAGTTCGCAGATAACCGTTCATTCAATACAATGACGGGAGTGGCAGTGGAAAGAAGCAAAAACCTCCTCGCCTTCAGCAGTGTCAACTTCAGACTCAGTGTCAGGGGCCATGCATTCATGGACTACGGAGAACCTCACATCAGCGTCAATGGAGTGTGGACAAATTCAAATACCTGAGCAGTAAAATTTTAAGGAATACTCGAATCAAAGATGAAGTGGTTTACCAGATCTTTAAAGACAGTCAGTCATTTGATCGGCTACTGTTCTGCAAGACGGAGTAACGGTCTGTCTGCATGGAAATAGTCGGGAAATTCAATCACCTTCAACTCACTTGTCTCAACCGAATACTAAAGCTATGGTGGCAGGAGAAGCCTCCGAACACGAAAGTCCTTGGACAGACTGGTATCCTCAGCAGTAAGGTTATGTCAAGGCAAATCCGGTCAGGTAGGGTTATGTAGCCGCAACGGAGGTAAACAAAACCCAAGCCATCTGTAATACGGGGCTGATGGAAACAAGGGATTCTACTGGAGGGCCGGGGAGCGCACAGGCAACGAAGTCAAGTAAAAAAGATGGCACCCAAAAAAATCCGTTACCTAGAAATCATACCTTTACCAGTGGACTCAAAAGCCCTTAGGCTATATCAGCGTTTGCAGGCCTACTTTCACGCACTACTTCAACTTTCCCCGACGGCCTAACATGGGCTGGTCGAACGAACATCGCAGGAGGTTACATGGACGATGGTTGCTGTTACCCAACCTTCTCCATTCTTACACACGTACACCTGAATCTACGGCTTACATTCGCATTATGACAGTTTATTACAAAACAAAATCACGTTTAAATAGGATAAGTCTGCACAACAGGGGACTGGAACAGTTCCCAGGCATCCGTCAAAGACATGGCATTGAGGCCAAACCAAAGACGATACTGTACTTCGTCTATGTGAGCCCACACAGCTGGACCACATATAGGGCCTCCCTCGTGAAGTTTCCTTTTCAGTCGACCCCAGTATGACTCAGTGGCATTGGTGTGCCGTCCGGTGGTAGGGTCCTTGAAGTTCCTTGAGTGGTAAACAGAGAAATGAAGGTAACCTTCTGAGGGAGGACGATTATACGCCTTCCACTCGTCCGTTACCACTATACTGCCTTTGGCGGCCCCTTTTGTAATAACGGAACAAAGAGCGGGCTAACATCCATCATTTATATGTTCAAATAAGGCTTTCCGTCGGCTAGTATCGTACATCCCGACCAGTCACCACCCATAAAACCCCTATTATCACCTGTTCCGTAAGACAGGCTGCTTTATTTAGGCGGACTTTTTTGGGTGCCATTTCCCGATTGTTACCTTATAGCGGATGCGCGGTCTTAATTTAAGTGGTTGAGAAATAGTTGCCCTAACCTCTAGTCCTAAGCCCCAACTCTAAACCCTAACCGTAGCCCTAATCTCAATCCCTAACCCTAGACCTGAAATATCCAACTCAAAAGACAGGCTAAAAGTCGAGAAGGACCACCGGAAATTGGCCGAAAAGGTAGACACGGCAGCAAACAAACCAGGCCACCAACAGGACATGTACCGCAACGCATAGCAACACATAATCACACAAACTCAGTACAATTAAGCAGGTCAACAGTATTGTTTCCAATGGTAGAGGACGCTCACCGATCGTTCATACGGAACTCACTCGTTCCGTTGTGCCTTATGGACTCTCTCTCGAGCCCAACCAGCAGCCGAGGGCCACTCTTTTACGACGCTAAAAGGACACCGTGAAACATTTCGTAAGCAATTGCAAATGAACCCCGAGACCTAATAAGATCTCGAGCGGGGCCATCCGGCGTGTAAAACTGCACTAGTGATTGGAGCAGCATTCTATGAAGCCAACCGCATCGCCATGGCCTAAGCCAAAAGAGTTGCTTGCAAGCCGAAATTGTCGGAGACCCTGAGCCCAAAACATGACCTACCTCATAGTGTTCACTCATTCAACGGACATCCCGCACACGGATCGGCCTCGCCAGACACCTTCGGACCCAGTGCAAATTAAAACGAAAACTCCGCCTACTGCGTTCGTAAACGTCTCAATCGTCACCTCCTGCTGCATACACATCATGTCTACGACGACGTCCTCCACGACCGGTGAGAATACTCCTGATTCCCCGCTGCCATCAACGCTATCCACCACCTCCATCATCCATGTGACATAAATAGTGACGGCTTCGACGAGGCCCTACTACTTCTCGTATCCCTAACGCAGCTGTCACCGCCAGCAATGAGCACTAGATACTAACAATTGCTCACTGCAACTGCCCCTTCACATCACGCACAGGCATTTTTGGTACTTGTGAACCAGTATCTGAAACCCTGAATGCGCCGCAATGAAATATTCACACCGTCCACGAACATTCAGTCCTACTCAGCCTCATTAGCAGCCACGACAGCGTCATACATCGAAATGTGCTCATGCGAAGCACACCTTGCCCATCTTCAGCAATGCCAACTCGCCCGCTATCAGTGTCGCCTCTGCAAACAGCAACAACACCACCATAACAGAGGTCAAAATGTTGCAAATACGCATCGCTCAATGGCCTGTTTTGTCGCCTGCAAATTCATAGCATAAAGAGTAACACCAGCTTAAGCCCTCTGCACCCGCCTCCACTGCTCTCGATGTCCACGCATGTTCAGTTACTTTTGTGTCCCCATGCAGATCTGCTGTTTTTATCGCTCAAGAAGCCATATCTCTACCCACCTCTTCACCAGCCTATACACTTCACACAAACTCGTTCCACATCACCAAGTGAGGGCGCGGAACAGATGCCTCCCATGTAAGTGGGAAGCGTGTACTCTGGTATCTTCTTAGCGTGGGGCCTAGTGAATGCTCACGCATGCAAGGCCTGCGCCACCCACCAGTTTGGTGTGAAAACCTGGCGTCTTGAGCGGGGCAGGTCATACGTGGTCCGCGCAGACGGTTTGTCGTGCACTTCTAGCAACTTACGCCCAATCAGCGCATCAGAGTGATGAGCGGCTCTGATAGCAAAATAGTGCTGGGAATAGGGAAGAGCTAATGAGCAGACACGGGAGTTCGTGACATTAAAGACATTCGGCGCATATTCCTTGCTATTATGAGTTTGACGCGTTTCTAAACTATCATGGTGCGATAAGGGCAGTGTTCTGGAAGGCCGCCGGCTGATAGGTTTAGCCGGTTCTCCCCTCATCTCGGATAGTCAGGCCACAACGACCCCTTCGTAGTGCGACCTCCACGAAACGCACATTCTCCTGGGACGTAGGCAGCCCCTTTGTTGTTTTTGATGAAAATCTTGTACATCGCTAGCGAACAGGACGTGCGTGACGTGCGCGGACGGACTATTTGGCCCTGTAATCAACTGCGCCAGTCTTCTTGACTATTTGTTGGCACCGAACCCAGGTGGATATGGGAGGAAAGAGCGGTGTAGATGCTGCGCAAGTCTACTATCCCTATAAATCAATCAACACGCAAGTCGCCGTCACCGCACCGCCATGCTCTAGAGCACTTGATGGACATTGTCTATCGCGACGGTCGCCCTCTCGTTAATTGCTCTGTTTTTGACTGTATGATTTTAAATGAAGTATGGGACGGTTTAAACGCGACAAGATATCTATCCTCAAATTGGTCTATACTGATGCCATTAACATGAAACTTTACTGATCTCAATTTTTTATCCTGGCAATTCATTGGCTCAGTCTGTATAAAATACACCTCATTAACTATTCATAAAATTTATAAGCAGCCACATTTTGGAGCACACCACAGATTTTCCCCAACTAAACAAAATGTTTGAGACAACTTTAACCACTTGCAGTAAATCTTATTAATAAATACTAATACCGGGAATATACCCATGAGAACAGTTCTTTTGATGGCTACAAATCGCGTTTTCTTAATACTGACCACCTCAAAGCTCTACAGAAACTGTGGTTTGCGTCCATTAAAAAATAATAAAGAGCAAACTTGTCGGTTTTGTGGTCCAAAATTTCGCACTCGTACTTATACTAGTCCAGAGTTGTAGTTCAATGGTTTGCTAAATGTGTACTACATTGAAAAGACAGTTTTCACGGTGGCTAAATGTCGATAACTTTGTCATTTCATAACGTGTAGGCGAAAATCCAACGGATCTTCCGATGTAGAACATTGACATCTAATAGAACTTGCGTATGCAAAGACGCAGCATGTTCGTGACCGTAGCTCTCTTAAGGGCTTTTTGGTGATTTCATAGAGCATAGATTAGACTTTAAGTTCCAGGACTTCTGCAGCTGCATTTTGCAAATTGTTGCTCGGAATTTCGCTTAATCATAGCATTGCAGTTTAGAGAACCATAGAATGCAGGCTCGAACGGACAGCCAAATGACATTGTTAAATAATCTCCTTCGGAATTTTCTCCGTTGTAGACCATCAGCAAAAACATGACAGTCATTCCTAGCGCCATTGCCTCCCCCTGCCCGATTCGACTACGTGTCTGTGTTTTCGTCGCGGTAGGCCATTGATTGGCTAGAAAAACTGTCCACATTTAAGCTGTCTCTCTCTCTCTATTGGTGCTTGTCCAAGCATCGCTCAGCTTCATAAATCACCTTTCTAGTCAATAAGGGGACACACAATGCCGTCGGGGTCGACAGTCTACTGGAGCTGTGACACAACTCATTCCTGGCCCGACTACCTGGATGTTCCTGCAATTATACTATCTTTCTTCAGCCTCGCCGCCAACCTCGCCGTGACTGTCCTTCTTTTTCGTCTTTGCGCAAAAACGATCACAGATCTCGCTCTGCTGCGACTTCTTTCAATTAGCTGTCTCATCTCCTCCTTTATTTCCCTTGTCGACGATGTCATTACCTATGACACAATGACTGGCAATCGCTTCTTTGACAGTCTGATCTGCTTACTCTGGAACAGTCGTTTCATCTACTGGTTATTCCTGACTCTCGTCGTCCAGAGTCTTGTCTTCTTCGTTTGCAATCGGGCTATAAATCTGCTCCACCCCGATCACCGTCGCATCACTACGGAGAATCAGCTTCTGACTGTGTATATGCTCACTGTCGTGGGTTCCAGTCTTCTTATCATGGCGCCACAACTACTGATGACGCGCTTGGACAGGGAGGACTGCGCTTGCGCGCCGGCTCCCGAAAATATCCCTCTACTATCTGTGGTTTTCGCTCACGCCTACCTCTGGTTCCTCTTTCTCGCCATAATCTATCCCGCAGTTCTAGTCTACATCTGCATCACCATGCTTCTGCGGGTTTTGAGAGGAAATAGGGAACCACTGGTGGACGATCTTGACGCAATTTACTTCCCGAATTGCTACTCATCCTCCGCCACGGATGTTAGCTCAGTGTCCTCTACAGTTGCTCTCCAACTCTCTGTTCTCTCCGATGAGCAGGGAACAAATGATGATGATGATGAGGTGTCGCAGGTAACCTGGTCGGCCTCCTTCTGTATCATTCCCCTGACCGCTGCTTACATCGCAACCTTCACCTACGATGCGACCTATCAGTTTCTGAGTGCGGCTGGTAAACTTTCTTACGTGCTGCGCAGTCCAGCGCAGCAGTTCAGTGAGGTGCTGCTGATCCTTTTCACAGCCCTGGTGCCCATGATCCTCTTTTTTCACATCCCCGCGATGCGATCACTGATCTTCGTGGCAATTGCGTCTCTACGAAAGCGGTGTAGCAATGGGCAGAAGGCGGGAATTGGGGAATCATACGTTTTGCAAGTAAAACCAGAGCAGGGGACAGAACCGGAGCGGTTGAGAGAGTGATTGTTGTCTTGAAGACTATTGTTATTTGAAACTGTTGACAGTGCGCTCATTGAAACTACTTGACAGGAGGTGGGATTTTTACCGATCAGCCGAGAGGAAATGAACCATGTTCAAGACGTGTCAGCCGACCTGGTCGATTTCTGTCGTGAGACCAATTCTGACAAACAGAGCCTCCTAAAATAAGCATCGTGGAACAAAGATGGAATTGAATTAAGTCGCCGTTTACTAAAAACGCGACTGGTTTTTGCCATTTGTCGCGATAGACACCCTCTCGGAATCGAAACTAATCCCATATCATATAATATGACTGTTTTATTGATTTTTGCGAATATGTCCTCCCCATCCACGTTGCCTGTGATAATTCACTATCTGCGGGCAGTTCATATGTGATTCTGTACAGAGCACGATGTCGCGCGCTAGAGTTAGTTTCCCCAATTCAAGACAGACAAAATAAGTTTGATGATTTTTTCCTCTTTACGCAGAGAGCACACATTCAAAACCCGGAATTAATCTTTCATTTTGCCAGTAAAATTAAAAACAACCCATGCTTAGCAGACCGCTCGTCTGGTCCACTTTGATGTAAACAAAAGGCGCAACATTTGTAAAACACACGTTTTCATAGGATCGGAGAATGATGAAGTGACGATTTATGATACCCAGAGGGAAAACTCCATACCAGATGTTCAAAATTCTCTGTAATGAAATGTTTTCATTCCGGCGTGCGATGATGTGCGGTTGTATAACTCTTTTAAATATCGTGAAAATATATCCTATCGGAAGTCCTTCGTCTCCTTCTAAATCAGAAACAGATCCTATTTTTGCCTCGATCTGTAACCGGACTCGTCCTCCGTGCATACTTTACGCAATCTTTTGACTTGCCACCTATAAGTTCGTGCGCAAACCTAGAAATGCCAAAGGTGACTGAACTTTTATTCCAGCATTAGCAACGGGTCTTATCAGTCTAGGAGCAATCATTATAGGGGGTACAGTAGCTGGACTATCACATAAACTGTTAGCCGGCATTTCGAAATGCGCTTTCAATTTGAAAGGATTACTTAGGTGGGGTTGCAATATTCGTTACGACGCAGAGTAATCCAACAATGCTTCAGTCCCATAAGAGTATCGTCTTTTAAAAGACCTTTTTTCAGCCGATCAATAAACTAAACTCGATAAGAAGATGTGCTACACGATTGGTATGAGTTTTGTGCACTAATTATTGATGCTTTTGTAATTTCAGATATTTATCGTAAGAAAATTACATAAAATAGCTTTTCGTTTGCTCATTTGGTAACACATACAGTGGGTGAACTAACTCACGAAATGTTGACCGAAATTTCGAAATAGTTTCTCTTTTCGAAAAGATTAATAAAGTAGGGTTGTAAAATTAATCACTGTAAAGCATAATTCTATAACAATTCAGTCGACTTACGGAGAGACGTCTTCCCTGCTGCTTACAAAAGCCATACTCTGTAAAAAATGACTATCTACCTAGCGTACATTTCTTTCATTAATTTTCGCTGTTCTTTAATAATCAATTATATTTCATATAAAACGCGCATAAAAGTATTCATTTTTTACCCATTTGGTAGAAAATTACGTTTTCTTCCACTTTTTCACTTAAAAAAGGTATAATTCGGTTTTAAAAAGTTTCGAATTGTGCGATTTTTTAACATCGCAAAATAGCCGTTCATGAAACGTCATACCTCTACATTTACCAATGTGGATTGTAAAGTTAACAGTATTGCGTTAATCCACCGCTAAATTGTATGAACCCCTTATGGTCCGTTCTCAATACTGTAGAGGAATATATGGTTTTCCATATGCGGAAAATATACAATTTGTAGATTAGAAACCCTGAATACATTTGCAGCGGGAAGTGGAAGTGTTTTTGAAAACCGAATTATGCCCTTCCTCCAGGTACCAAATTTAGGGAAAAAGTAATTTTTTTAAGCGAGTAAAAGCCCGAATATTGTGTTCATATTTTCCATGAAATATAATTGATTATTTAGGGGCATCGAAAATCAATGAGAATGATGCATGCTGCATAAGCAGAATTGTTTTACAGCGTATAGTTTTTTGCATGCATCCGAGAATAAGTTCGTTCGAAAGCCGTCATCCTGAAGTAAATGAATTATTATAGACTTATGTCTTACAATGATGAGTTTTACAACCCTACCTAATTAATATTTTCGAAACGAAAGAGCATTTCAGACTCTCGGTTCATATTTCGTGACTTAATCCACCTACTGTAAGTTTTGCCAGAATTTTATGCATGAAGACTTTTATGAACTTTGACAGCTCCCGAATTAGTTGGAATCGGACCTGCCGTTGCGTTTGCATTTGAGATTATCCTAGAAAATGGCATAATTACAAACTTTTTAAGTCGATTAATACTCCATCTTCAAAAATACTTTTCGTACAAGAGGCTATTTTCTAGCAAATGTGTAACAGTGGGACATTGTATATGATTTTTCTATAAGACATATTTTCATATTAAATATCCCACCGAAGCGCCGAGTTTTTCACAGATGGGTTAATATGAATTATTCAAAATCTGCCAAAAT